CGCCGCCGCTGCCGCTGTTTTCTGTATTTCCCATCGAGTAATCACGTGGGAATGCGTCAAACGATGCGAGCATACCTGTTATTAATCTCTGCAACAACATGTATATTTGATAGTGATATCTAGTGTGATTATGTGCAACATTCGTTGTCCTAGTGCGGAACAAGAATTTTTCTACACCTTCGAATACGCTTTTTCCCCTTCTTTTTAACGTATCTTTTTCCATCGTTATTCTCTCGATTCTCTCGGTGTTCGATATTTTCTTTCTTGCCGTATCGCTTTGTTTCGTCCGCATTCCAATTCCTTAATAACGCGTTGTTATCGTTCACCGGCAGTCGCTTACCACTTCAAGTTCACTGATCCAGAATACTAATTCAATACTGGAAACGTATCTTCGTGGGAAGATCAACCTGGTTACTATTGATGTTCATTTTGAGTTACTTCATGTGTTTAAATGTTACTTCTGCGAGCAAGTTTGAACATGTTTTCCCGTCTGCAACTCAAAAAATAAGGTCAGTAGACTCCTCTTCTTTATTTAATCTCTTCTTTTTTTTTCTATATTTTTTGTGAGCAGATAATGTTCCTATATACTATTGGTTAATAATGTTGTTTGATATCATAAATCTATTTCTCAAATTCATTAAGTGTTTAATACTTTTACAAATATTTTGTTATTTTTCCTTGTTTATGTATATTTTATCTTATATAAGGATCACTTACTAGTTACTCATATTTTTACTATTGGTAATGAATAGATTTCATTCTATCAATTGTTTTTATCATACTGTTGTCATAAATATTATGTTTTTGTTTTTATTTATTATTGTAGTACCTATTTTCTTGGTTGAACAAATTAAATTGTGCTGCAGCAAAAACTATCTGGTGCTATTATCAATTGATTATTGATAATTATCTCATCCAAGTCATAATCAATAAGAAAATTGAATATTCTAAAACCAAGAAGTTGAAAAACTGTATACCCAGTTTTCTTTTTCTAGGAAAATTGGTTCTGAAAAAAACATGATTGAAAACCATATAAAAAAGAATAAATTAAATATATTTAAAAAAATGAAAGAATGATTTCAGATATGAAAACTCAATATAAACAAATTGTTTTTAAACATTACATGTGAAAATCTTTGTATAAAAGTATTTAATTTTAATGGAGTATTTTTTATACTGCATCTCTGATATAATAGAAATTTGTAAAAGAACCAAATACAGCTGCACTTATTGTTAATAATTACATTTTATTTATCATTTTCTGTGAATATTTAACACTGACATTAATTTTTAACAATTCAAATAATCTATTAATCTAAGTTCCAATAAATTGGACTTCCAATTTATATGGAAATACTGTTTTCAATAGATCTGAATTTAGATGGAATTTTATAAACAAACACTATTTGAGTTATGTTAGATCAAAGTATACTATGTAAAAGTAAAATTGCTTTTATTAAAAACAATTAAATGTTAACCAGTAGTAAAAGTATTGATAAATAGTTTTTATATTAGATACTGTGTATTTATTTAGCATTTAGTAATTAAGAAGGAAATGAAAATGAAAATCAAAATAATATATAAATTAGTATAGCTTATAATATAATATTAATATAATTTGTATTTAGATTTATTATAACTTAATTATGTGTTATTTAATAATATTATATTAAGCAATATCTTCTTTAGTTGTTGCAGTGTATTGGATATTAAGTTTCTTCCTTATCATTTTTGTATCTGTATTTACTTTCATTTCTATATGTGTATTATAAAATTAAGTTTGTATACATTCGTATTGTCATACTAAAACTAATTTTTATATTATTTATTTACAGATTAATTGATATGAATTGGTCCTAAAGATATAAATGGAAGAGTCAAACATGGCGGATATAGAAAAAACTATTGAAACAACATAATGCTTAATATGAAATAATTACAGAATAAGGACATAGAACGCAAAACAAAAAAGAAATAAAGTAAAGAAGTTGGAGGATAAGAACAAGTAATAAAAGTACAGGATATCAAAGCAGTGATGGATGAATGGGAGTGAGCAAAGCACATGTGAAGTGCAGGTGTGGGTGCGTACGCACGTGGGAGCCTCTGGATGTCGAGGCTGCAGCACTGGCAGTGTCAGTGGCAGTGATGGCCCCTGCTCTGACGGAAGGCGGTCCTCAAAAGCCTGAAAACTTACTCCCTTCCCTTCCAGCTAGCGGATTTCTTTCCCCAGAGCAGGCTACCGAAGTGTGTCAGAATCGTGAAATTCTGGCTAAATTTGTTGTCTCAGCAAACGTTCAACCATCAAAGATTGATGAACAGTGTTTACATGGTATATCTAAGGATCTCATTCGTGATGTCATCAACTCGAAATATGCCAATGATCTTGATAGTTTGTCTACATTTACGCACGGATCTGACTTGATTGCAAAGAAAGCATCAATAAAGGAGGACTGTGAACAACCGGATATTCCGGGCAGTCCAGAAAAGAAGGCGACTGATATTATAATGAACGACCCATCTATGGGTGATCAAGCGGACAATATGGGTTTCTTAAAATCAAGTGCAGACTTGCCTTTGGTGGGCTCAGAAGCTGCAGGAGACAATAAAACTCTGGATGTGGATCAAATAATGGCCTTTGGTACCGATATAACTACAGATAATGAGCAGTGTAATATGGGCAATGTCAGTGATATTGGACAGAATGTTGAAGAGATTTTACAAGTTATCAAGTCAATTGAGGGAGTTGAAAATGCAGAAAATATATCTGCTGGCAGTAACGAACCAGTGCAAAGCACTGTGGATGGAGTGGAAATGTTCTCTATGCCCGAGGAAGGATTTTCATCCTTTGAACGGGATTTACTTAATGATGTTGATGTTATGAGTCTTTGCAATAATATGAACATTGCTGATGTGGACCAACAGAAAATTAACACCTTAAAACTGCAACAAGACATTGTTGCACAAAAACAATATGAAAGTGAGAGGAGATGTGCATTTTTATTAAGAAGACTGAGGAAGCTTCAAGCAAGGATAGTAGGCAGGCACGTTGCAGAAGAAAATACTGGAGTTCTTGAACTTGCTCATCATGGAGTGAAGAAATATCTTTTTCAAGAATTGGTTAATATCAGTTCTAAGTCTAATGTTAGAAACTTTCCTGAAATTAGTAGTAGTTTGAGTTCATTTTTGCAAAAGATTGAGAAAATGTGTGTTGCCCAGAGCAATAGTGTGAACCGTCAGCGATTATGTTGCCGATACTTTGGTGGTGGATCGCGTGACAGTTTAAGTAGTACTTCTGGCAATAATAGTAATCGTCAACCAGTGTTTGGTACTCCTCAAGTTAAAATTAAAGGTGATGAAGTGGAGAGTGTAGCTGGACCTTTAGCTACACAATTACATATTGTGGAGTCTAATCTTGATTCTGATTGTACTGCGTCTAGTAGTGGTGGAGAAAGCTGTGATGAAATGCAGTCATTTAACAATCCACATCAACAACATTTATCAATGTGAGTTTTACTTTTTATTAAAAGAAAATTTTTTGGTCGATTCTATCCCTTTTTAGGGAATGTTTGCACGAATTTTATTTTAATGAATAAAATAATGCAAACAATTTTATATTATTTATTTTTAAAAGTGATTGTTTCATGTGATTTTTGTTTTTGTATATGTTTATTATTATATTTAATTGAAAATTTTTTCAATAATATTTCAATTTATCATATTAATGAAGAAATTTGAAACCGAATAATATGTTGAGCCGGTTTCAGACTAAGTCCATTTAATGTTTTTTACTCAAAAATATTTATGTGTACATATATATATATAGGAAAAGTACTTGCAAAATATAACAAAAATGATAAGGATCATCAAAATCTTATATATTATAAAAGGATAATAATATACTATTTGAATATTTGCTTTTTGTTCTGCATTTGTACCTTTTGAAAATGAAGTAACTTCATACATTTAATTGCAATACACATTTTGAAGACGTTGACTGCCACGCTGAACCTGTTTAAAATTTCATTAGGTAGTATTTCTGTTTCTAACAAATTTTATCTATTATTTTTACAATATGTTATATGCACTATTCATAACTTCAAGTACCTAATACAAATATTTCTAATTAGGTAAGTAAATAAATTTCTAATAAATAAATAATTCCTAATGCGTGATGGATTTTAATAGAAATTCAAGTGTTATTCATGTATTGGTAACATGGCAGTCAACGTGATAGCATAATAGATTTTTTAAGTATTTATGTGCTTAATATGTCTCTGTCAATGTTGTTTATAGATCAAAAAGAGCAGCATGGAGGTATGCTCAAGATCGTGCAGGTGTAGCAGCTAGATGGACATGGTTACAAGCACAAATATCAGATTTGGAATATAGAATTAGACAGCATAATGAATTGCAACGACATGTTAGAGCTAACAAAGGCTTAGTAATTCTTGATAATGCAGAAACAGTAAACGGGTATAGTGGTGTTTTGCCAGGTTCTACAGGACGTTATAATTCGCCGGAAGGTGAATTACCAGCCAGTAGGACACGGCCGTTTGCGTGGAGTTTTTATAGGAAGAGAAAATTGTTACAAATAGACAGGTTACATGAATTTTCGAAACGGGCAGCAAAAGCATCAACAGTAAGATGCAACTGTGATCATGTATTACCTCCATGTGCTTTATGTACTGGAAGATTGGATCCAATGCAAATGCAAGAACCAATTGAACAGATGTCTGTGCAAGAACGAGTTGCACTTGTTGATCCTAGTTTTCATCCTGTTTTGTCATTTCCTGATGGTAAATAAAATATTACCATCACGTATATATACATATTTATATATATATATTCGTATACACTATTTGTACAGTTAAACAAAAATATTAAAATTTCTTGTAATATAATGTCAAGGTATTAAGAATTATTGTCATTTTGTTAAACTTTTTTTGGTTTATAGAAGTTACGCAAGGAACTCATCTTGAAGCTATTATGAAATCAGTGGAATGGCAACAAAAAATGTTACGGGGAAATTTGCGAATTACACGCTTAAAAGATAAAGAAACTAATGATAGAAGAAATAAAAAACTTCCAGGGCATAGAGCAAAGTATGCAGCTCGATTGAAAAAATCATCTTCAAGTATTCTCACTGCAAGTATGTACTGTATTACATGATTATGCATTTAGAAAGTTTCATTTTTGTTATGTATTTGAAATATTCAGAAATATTTTATTTATTGTATATTTTTTTTATAGGAATCAAGAGAAAAATGTTAAAAGGAAAAAGGAACAGACTCAGTCACGATAGAAGTGTACATGGTTTAAGCAGAAAGAGGGTACAGAAATTAACAACTGAAGATGATGACGATATTAGTGCCCTTTCCAGCTCTAGTAAACATTCATCTCCAGTGCCTTCACCTCTTCACCATACTACTGCTTCTACGGAGAAAAATACAATTAAAGAAAAAAGTTCTATTTCTCATGGGTAATGAATTATTAAGTACTGTTATGGAAGAAAATGTTTATTACGTATTCTGTCGTAAATAAAACGTTTATATATTTAATTTTAGGCGCCTGAGGCAAAATTCATATGACATTGATAATATTGTTATACCCTATAGTGTAGCTGCTTCAACTAGGCTTGAAAAATTACAGTATAAAGAAATATTAACACCAAAGTAAGTATTATTTATTAAACTTTATGTTATGATTTTTTTTTATCAATTTTATATAATTACTATTTAATATAGTTATTATTTTATATAACTTTAAATAGTTACTATAACTATACCTTTTTTACTGTAAAATATAGGTGGAGGTTATGTGAGGAACCTTTAAAATTAGATATTAAAAATGGTGTTATGCACAGGCCTAGTCAAGACAGTGATGTGAGTACAGTTAATTTTATAAAAATAAAATTATAAATCATTGTTGGTGTTAATTTAAAATATGTTTATTTTTTCAGTTCGAAGATATGTCAGATGAAACTATTGCTTTGAGGCACGAACGAAGTGAACGAGAAGAAAATAAACGTTTTATGACATACATCACTCTGCCACATCAGTCACGTATGCGACACAATCGCAGAACAGATAGCCGAGCAGATAGTGGTGCGAATACACCAGGTAATTAATTTTCCAGTATATTTATTTGTGTAGTTTTTGTACATTTAAAATATACACCACCAGTTACAAATATTTGCTTATTATTAAATGTATACGATGTTGTAAAGAACATTTCAAATATCCTTGAAAATTAATTTGGTTAATTACTTTATAAAAGAATGAAAAATTGTACTGGATTAGTTATATTACAGTGAACGTTTATTGGGTTAGTAAAGGATCAAGCATATATCTGTTGAATGCGTAAAAGAAAACAGTGTGCAAATACTTTTAAGTGGTGCTTGTGAATTCTATAATTTTTACAAAGTATAGAAGTTATCACTGTGACAATGATAGCATAATATTAACTAGAAACTTCATTTTCAAATTGAAAGTTTTGGGTTCTAATTTCGGTTTACTAACCTGAAAGTTTTTGCCTTCCATGGTGTTAATCTTTTTGAAAGAAATTATAATTTATTTTTGTATTTTAGACCCTATGTCTCCTCATGCAAGTGATTTTGGTGGAGATATGATGTCTCCTATTACGTCACCTCCTGCAACTCCACAAGTTCAAGATTCAGAACATCAACATAATTCGGATACACATCGATCATCTGCTTTGCAAAATGCTTTGCGACGTCGTACTACGCCTACTCTAAGATTAGGGAAAGACGATACTAGTACTTTAATGAACGAGGACGAAAATGAGGTATTTTAATCATATTGCACAATATACAAATGGTGTCTTCTTAAAGTAAAATATTCCAAAAGGGACTAAAGCTACTCAAAGAATGTTGTTGGTAAAATGGAATTACAATGGAAAAATATTTATATAGTGTTCCATTTAAACAAATAATCTTGACATTTTTAATTTTCCCCAATAATTTTTTGTTCATAAAAAAATTATACCAAATTATCTCTTCTGTTATATACTAAATGATTCCTTTTAAAAATAATCTTTCGATGGCTTTAGTCTCTTCTAAGGTATTTTACTGTATCAAATTAAAAAAGATACAGTTTGCATATATAATTTATTAAAATGATAGGAATATGAAAGATAAATATATACTATAAAAAATATTTTATATTTTTTATCAGATTTTGCCGTATGAACCGAGGGTATTTCCATTATCCGAAGAAGTTTACGACAAAATGCTGGAAGTAATGCCAGACGGTCATTGGCAAGCTTCGTCAGCGTCTCTATGTTCTCGCGAAGAAGAAAAGGCAGATGATGTACGTACATTGTGTTTGTATTAAATGTTTCATTGTTAATTATCTAAGTCAGAACTTTTTATTACAAACAAATGTCTGACTGCTCGTACTGACTATTAATGTAAACTTTGAGCCAACTTTCATGGCTCCTCGAGGCTGTTTCTGGTAAGCAGTGCCATTTGATGCTTTTTTATATTCTAACACAGTTAATTTTATTTTCATCGCATATTTCAGACTTTAGCAATAATTAAAAAGAGACTGCATTGCATTTATAATATTGAATACTATCTTTTTATAAGCATTAGTAATATTTTAATGAATTAGTTCGCTGATTGTTTTTTTCAGCTGTTACAAGCTTGTAAATTTAAATGTTATAGTTTTTGTAATATACGCAGAGTAATCGTGGGAAAGGTAACTTTTTATAACTATTTAGGTAGATGTTAATATTTCGTTTCTAGGATGGGGAAATGGATTCTCCAGAATCAGATTCAACAGAATCAGCTTGTTGTGACATAGAAGGTGAGGATCCCAATGATCCTGAATGGACAGTAGCTGACGATAGGGATACTGAAAAGGAACGAATACGTCCGACGGCTAAAAGATAGGAAAAAATCTTGAATACGTACTGTATGTCTACGTCGTCGTTACTATATGCAGAAGCTACCTGTCAATTGTTATATATACCTGTCGGTCATGTAACATGCACCTTAAGTTAATGGTATTACGAATCTGTAAAGTGTATTATAAATATAAATTTTATAACTTCATTCTGCTTAAATTAATGGAAAACCTTAATAATTGCTTTTTAAGTATTGCTATTTCGGCCAAAGCATTAGAATTGTAAAAGTACTATCCTTTTAATTAGGATAAGAATATTGTTATATTTTTTTCTTTCATTGTTATGTCGATGATAGGACGTAGTCCTACAAAAATGGGAATCTCATATAAACAGAATCAGACAGTTTTTATATATAAAAAAGAAAAAAAAAAAGAAAAAAAAACAATAAAATAAAATAAAAATGTATTTATATTATAATCAAACTTTTACGTTAAATAAAAGTGCCAACTGAAATATTCTGGAGGCTTACTCTTCGATGTTGCATATTTTTTCTAGTTGAGACAAGCGATGTTCATTGTAAAATATGTGAAAATATCCAACAAAAATCCAATTATTATGAACGCTTATATAATTAATTTATTGTATTATATCCCTGTATTGTGTCAACCGTTATATTTCTATATTTGATTTCTCTTGTTGTTTACTATTGTTTTCTTTACATGATTTCATAATTTTCACACCTTATATAACAGTCAAAAGCAGTTTGCTTATAAAACTTAAAAAAAAATACATGTAATAATTCCATATTCAGCTTATACTTCTCTATATAAAATAAGTAGGTAAAAATATAAAAAGATAATATACTTAATGATTTTTCATTATCACAAAAAGACGATTAAAGGTGATTTTAATAATAATAATAAAAAAAAATGCTTTAAAAAATGATCGTAATCCTGTATTTTGACTGTTATGTTCTATTTATAATTTATAACGCATGATTTCATGTTTATTTAAGTAACAAGTTACACATTTAAAATCTCATGTCACTGTGATTTCGTGATTTTCTAACAATCTGTGATACTACATGTAATTTCTTTCGTATTTCGTATTTTATAATTAGTCATGCATATCTATATTTAAAAGTCGTGCGCTTAGATTTTGTACATCACATTTTGAATGAAAATAAACACGCAGCAATGCAACATGTTTTTCTTCATATATTAGTTTAGGCTAAAAAAATTAATCTTCAATGTCTTACAAAACAAATTAAAAAATTTTTAATTAATTTTAATATTAAATATGGAAATAAATAGTCAGTTAAATTGAATTCGTTTCTTCTACATGATTTGTTTCTTTTTTAAAAACATTTATATATTATTTAACAAATTTTTTATTTATAAATATTTCAGAACAATTTGTATAAATTGAAATAAAAAATACGGTATTATATATAAAAAGTACTACATATTTCTTATTTTTAATTAAGATAATGTTAATTGATATTTGATTAAATATTATCCAAAACAGATATACTGTGTATCTAAATTTTTCAAATTTACTATCACAGCAGTATGAGTTGTACTAAAACAGGGAACAGATATCAATCTTACCATTTTTTTATTTTCACCTGAAAATTGAATGAAGTATTTTTATCTTATGAAGTATTTAATATTTTATTAAATTAAATTATTTTTTAAGCATATAGCGGTAAGTATAAGCATAGAATGTACAAACCTTTCCAAAGTTTTGTTTCAAATTTATCAGTATTTCCAACAAAATATATGTCTGGACATTCTTTCATAATAAACAAATCTTTTTCATAGTATGGACAGGCTAATAACGTGTCTGGTGCTGTTGGGCACATGTGCCTCCATAATAGTGTTCGTTCTAACCATTCGATAGGTGAAATACCAATTTCACCTGTTGCTTTAATAATATCTTTAATTGATTGACCACTAGTACCAATTATTATTCGTTCCTCAACTTTACCAATCCATGGATTTGTAGTACTTTTAAAACTTTCAAGTCTACAACATTTATAAATATTTTTTAAATTTGTATGTTAAAATACATACATACATTTGTGTGTGCAAATACATACTTAGATGATTTAGGTAATAAACAAGGATGTAATGGTCTTTGAGGCAACATAGCATTAGTAGGATCATATTCTCCTGGCATCAAAGTAATACAACAACACGTTGCCAAAGTGCTTAGAAATTCATCTGTAGTTTTTATTGCTTCTCCAATTTCTTTAGCTAGTGTATCTGTTTCTGAGTGGAGTGTATCATTTCTTTTTACAGTATTACCTAAGTAATGGAATTAATGCATTAATAGTATGGAATTTTATAACATTTCTATATTTTACGCAAGATGTAAGTTTAATTTACCTGCTATAACAAGACGTACAATAGAAGTGCTATCTTTCTGTACTATTGAATTACCTGCCATTCCACACAACCATTCCATAAAAAGATTTATTTCTAAGCTTTTACTATTTGTAGATAGATCTAATCCAGATACTAACACTACTTTTCCTTCAGATGTACAGTTTGTTACAGATTCTTTTGGAGCACAATCAGGAAAACACCATTCTTTTACCTAAACGATAAATTATTTCTGACATGTAGCAAAAGTATAATTGTAACACTTGTACTCCTTTAGATCCAAATTACCATAAATGTTCCATCATTGTTTTCTTTGCCCAATACAGCACAAACAACTCCAGTAACAATTTGTTTTAAGTCAACCTCTTCCCCTACCAGTTTAATACGCAACATTTCATCTTCTAGAAAAGGTTGATCTTTTTCAGAACAATAATCAGATTTTGAAGAAGGAAGACTAAGTTGATGGTCTTCACTAAGTTCACGCAAAATTGATGGTTTCCATTGTTGGTGTTTATAAAGTGTACCAATTATTACACATTCTCGACCCTCTAAATTTTCTAATTCAGCCAATTTGACAATAGGAATATTTCCTGTAAAAATAGGAGTTAAAACTATCATTGTAAAAAATTCTGGATAAAATTATTATATAATTTTAGTTCCCAAAAAGGATAAAAGTAAATAAAATAAATAAAAAGAATATAGAAAAGAATAAATAAGTAAAATACAGGAAACTGTCTCATAAGAATTAAGAAAGCAAGGAATACTGCAGTAGTATTAGGTAACAATGTAATCCAGTTAAAATAAGCAAAATAAACAGCATTAGAACAGCAAAACATACTATGACCGTGTCTAAGAATTCTACTAATCAAATCTATATTTTGTATTCTTAATTAAAATTAGTTAAATATATTATTATTGAAGTACTGCCTTATTCATAAAACAATATTTGAGTAAACTTTTTATGGTACAAATCTTCTAAAGTATATCAAACACAGATTCAAAATTATATAAGAAAGTAATACCCCATTTAGATTGTACACGTGGAATTAAAACGCTCCGTAATTCAGCAAGTCTACTAGCATATATGTGAGCAAATTGTTTAGAATAGTCGTTTTTTGTATTTACAAATTTCTTGGAAAGATCTGTATATTGAGCTTGCTTTCTGTCAAATACTTGTGGTTTTTCATTTTCTGATTCCACACTCATGCACTTGTCGGTTTTATGAACCATTTTCGTCTAAAATATGTATCAAATTTGATGATATTCTATTTCTAATTATGTTCGATTACTTTAGTTTAGTGGACATCAATGTACAAGTTTTGCCTCCAAATTTATTCGAAATATTTTTATTTTGTTAGCGCCATCTGGTAGTACATACTACGAGAAATTTAAAATAACAGTTTAATAAAACACAATATATTGAATATAAAATTAATTATTTTTATAATCATATTATTTTAAGTACTTATTTAGTAAGTTAAAAATATAATGCAAATCTTATATTTTATTTCTACATTGATGGAAACTTGCAAGCAGTATTGGTAGTGCCATTGAGGGTAAAAATGATAAAATTAACAAAATTGGAAATTGTTTTTTTGATATTTTCAGTATATTTTATGATCGACATAATTCGAATAAACGCATTAAGGTGTGTTTGTGGTGCTAAAAGTCACAATTAAAAATATATCATTATATGGGTTCTGTGGCGGTCTTTTTAAAATAATAGAAAGGAAGCATTCCATTTTCGAACCCGCTAACAAAAATTATTTTTATATGTTATAGATACTTAGAACAATATTTGATTATATTTAATGTCTACTAGTCATACATATAAAAAATGTTGTAATAATAATAATTATATATTTAATTTAGTAGAACAGAGAGATATTATTTGAATATAAACTAAAAACAGTAATTTAATATTACTTTTAATTCGGAACGTATGGAATTCTAGAGAAGTAAAGCTGTGTTATCGCAGATTAATGTAAAATTTGTAATTTAGCGGGTCATTTCCAATTATTGAGCGAGCGAGCCCAAGGCGAGCGAAGCTTTTATACTTGACTTTGCAACTTCTTTGTCGACGTTTTTCTTTGGCACCACTCAACCAATTCTCGTCAAATTTTGCATGCACATGCGTATGTACATCCAGATGGATATAGAAAAAAAAAAATTTTTAATCGGACTTGCCACGAACGTATAATCACCGAAAAAACTGATCCTAAAAAGTCAGGGTCCGAACACGCATATAAGGAAAATAAAAAAATGAATATTTTGGCACTTTGTCGACGTAGTATGGTTTCTGAAGCATTTAGAAACAAATTTCTATTAGGGTTTGATCCTGAAGCATTTAGAAACAAATTTCTATTAGGGTTTGATGCGTTTTGATGCCTAATAAAGCCAGGAAATCAATTTTTGTCGAATTCGGTCCAAAACGGTACAGGTGGCGCCATCTAGCGGCAGGCGGCGGAACTACGAAAAACGCGCCATTTAGCGGCGAGCGGCGGAACTACGAAAAACTAAAATTTCGATTTTTCTCGAAAACTAGCGAATTTTAAGTACTTCTGAGGGTCAGAAATCAATTTGTGACATCCCTGGAACCTATATGATGCCACAAGAACTTTCTAAAAGCGCTAGAAAAGAAAATAGAAAAATAGTCCAAAACATGGACTAAAAAATTGGCGTCCATCTAGCGGTGAAAGCTGGAACTACAAAAACATAAAAATGCGATTTTCTCGAAAATTAGCGAACTTTGAGTA